TGGTGGTGGGAGAGGTTGGAATGGAAGATACAGATTGTGTGGACAGGTGTCTTATACACTTAACGAGCTGGCATTAGGGGCCTGTTTACACCTGGTCATTTCATGCGTTTTCGCTGATCGGATATCTTCCTGATTTGTTAAAACGTTTCAATTTACACTTGGCCACAAATATGTTGTTGCAAAACGGATTTAAATCCGATCTTCAATTCCTGCGCTATATTTAAATTTAACGGAGTTCACGTCAACGAAATCAAAAGATAAGCTCTGCATTTTATTAATTATCAGCTCATTTCAACATCAAAGACCGCAATAGGAGAGCGCGCGGCATCAGCACTGGAAAGATAACTTGTCTTACTACTTTTAATGAAGATGATTGTGTGTTGACATAATGAATAACACTCATTAATAGGCTGCTGTGTGTTATAGACTGAACACATCATGCCCTGCATGTGAGAGTGAGCAGGTGCCTGAGAGTTTATCATCACCCAAAGAGCCACAGTGTGTGTGTGTGTGTGTGTGTGTGTCTTCATTGAAAATCCATTCACATTTATGTAAATGTAGGGCATTACACCTCGAAAGGGTGTTTCTCTGTGGAAGTGACAGTGCCATTGTTAGGATGGGCACCTTCAGCTGTGTAAGACCCAGTATGATTTCTCTTTAGATATGCTGTACATTGCAAATAATGAGGTTTTGGTTTTGTTTTGACTTACATTTTATGCATTTAGCGGAGCTTTTATACAAAGTGACATGCATGGCATTGAAGGTATACATTTTCTCAGTTCTTGCATTCCTGGAGAATCGAAACCTTGCTTTACTGTTTTAGCTACAGGAATGCTAATGAAAGATTTGTATGAACGGGTTTGTTGTTTGAGTGTTTGTAGTGGAATCACTCTGATATTAGATTGACTGGTTGATTTTTGGCTTCAGTTCACACAAATTTGAACGTATTGGCACTTGTTCATGTGCAGAAACACGCAAACAGACTTTGCATTTGCAGTTTGACTTCAGAGAGAGAGTTGAGATCCTCCTGTGGCAGTGAGCAGCCTCAGATCGGTCGTTCTCCTTGTAGTCTTCAGGTTTTCAACATTCAGGCAGTGTGCTAGGAGTTCATCTGCTGTTTGTAGTATGTGGAAAAGCTTTTCCACATATTCACTCGAAAAGATGTTTGGAGATTTAGGCTTCTTAAGATTTTTTTTATTAGTATTTTAGTGGAACTTTTCATTGCCGATTACATTTTTACAAAATGTACATTACATTTTAACAACATTTTCAGTGATGAATAGATTAGAATACTTTTCAAAAAAATTTTCAATTCAAGCTTTTTTTTTTTTTTTTACTTGGTCTGCCATCTTGGATTATTGCTACTTTCACGTCACATCGTAATGATTGCATTTATTAGACAAATGTTATTACAATGTTGTATTTACCAGTTTTTAAAAAAAAAAAACTGAGTTGGAGGTGTGTTAGTTAAAGAATAATGATGTAAACAAATTTTCGTCATAATTACGCTTTTAATTGTAAATTCAGTTTGTATGTTTATATTTATGTGGTGTTGTTGATGAATGGCAACACAAGAATGATAAAATTCACAGATACACATATCACACAAATTACAAATCATTTGCTTTTTTTTTTTTTTTTCTCCTATTTTTTCATATCACGATACAACTTCCAAGGTTGTACATAGAAACTTCACAGAAGGACTTGAAGGCAGCAAAAAGTTTTCATTGTCACAATGCATTCTGATGTTAATTTGTGATTTCATTGTCACAATGCATTCTATGATTAATCTGCAATTAATCTGTGAATGACATGTAGTGTACTGTACAATGCAGTCTTAGATTTTGAAAATGTGGTGCCAAACACTCTTAAAAATAAAGGTGGATACTATAGAAGAACCATTTTTGGTTCCTTTCAGTGAGTAGTTCTTAAAGAGAACAGTGTGCAGAACATTTTAATAATCTAAAAAAACCTTTTTCCACTATAAAGTACCTTTTGTGGAATGGAAAGGTTACATCGATTTTAAAGGTTCTTTATAGAACCAAAGATGCCAATAAAGAACCTTTATTTTTAACAATGTACAAAGTGGCATGATTTAGTTACCGTTTTGACCGATTTTTGTGTCAGGAGCGTATAATGTCCAAAACTGCTGTGTTACAAAATCAGCAGGGGATCAAATAAATATTTTCCCTACTGTATGGTTGTGTGTTTAAATCTGATAAAGAGACTACATTATTTGGATATTCTGTTTCTCTGTTGGACCATAACGATCATGGTAAAATGTGTTGCATGGTGTTTATTTATGCTGATTAAATATAATAGTATCTTTTTCTGTAAGTAGTTAAAAATAGTTTATTTTTCCTTCACTCTACATGTCAGAAAATTAATTTTAGTAGGGCATGTCCAAAAGAGATGGGTCAGAGAAGCCTCAGCAGATTTACACCGGTGAATAATAACCAGGAAATGTTTTTGACAGGTTTGGTGAAATTTGTCTGTATGTTCACTTGCATTTTGCTAACAGAACAAAAAAATCACAGTAAAAGGATTGTAAAGTTGTTTTTCACTGAACATTTAGACCTCTGCTGTAGCTTTTAAAACAAGTAATAGCGTCAGTGATGCCAGTGACACCAATGACATAATCAAACATCGTTGGTTCTCACATGCTTCATGACTACACATCGTTGATGCCTGGTAGAATTTAATTTGAGAGTGATAGCAGGAAGGAAGATTTTAATTTTGGGGCAAACTGTCTTTTTTCCTTGTTTAGAAAGAGCAAGAAAAATCCGCCCCAGCTTCACTCCAACCAACTTTTCCTGTTTAAGTCTCTCTGTTTCTGCATTTTGATGGCCTCATTACCTCCACTGACCTCTCTTGTGCTGTGAAAACACTGCATCAATCTGTCACTCAAACTGAATTCCACCAATCAGGGATTATCCTGACATCACCACTCAGAGGGAGAGGTGAGGAATAGTGTAAGATGGTAGGAAGAGCTGTAAAACGCTTGAATGAAAAATGTGAATTTAGGGAAAGATTTTTTTTTTTTTCAAAAAGGTTTCAAGACTGTACATTAAAGGTGCTTTAAGCAAATGTTTTTGTCTCTTTGACT